TTCACCACTGGTTAAATATAGACTTTATGTCAAGGTCACCACTTTTTTAAAAGCTTAATCTCCTTTCCAGTAGTGCCTCATAAAAGAGATAAATCACATAGTTCCCTCTATTTAACCTCCTTATACATTGTGAATATAACCCTCTTCCATTTCAGTTCTCCAGATCCAACTTCTCATTTTTATACAAAGGTTCAGTATGAAAAGAGAGCACCCTTTCTGGGAGAAAAGACCCACACATTTGAAATTCAGTTAAACTTTTCTCACATAACTGCTAAAAAGATCTGTAGTTGAAACTGAGGCATCAGGTGGAAAACACTCCTAGATGTAGCGGTAGAGAGAAAAAAATAATTAAAACAACATGAATGAAGGCTTGTCTATTATTAGATCTCCTCTCTTCCTCTAGGGAATTCTAGAATGGGATTGTTAAATATTTGCAGATGTCAACAGCTGTGTACATGGAACAGACATTTTCAAATTCAGCATTTTCAGAAGTATGGGCCATAAGAAAAACACCTACCTCCAGCCAGAGGGGAGGTAGAGTAATTAGCTGGCAAAACTACTTCCTTGGCAATACCGTAAGATTATTTCTCATGTCCTTTACATATGAAACAACTATGACATAAAATTTAAAATGGCTTTATTTTACACATGGGTTCCAGTTAAAATACATGCTCTTTCTTAAAAATCCATTATGAAAATAGCTAGAAGAAAGAGAATACTTATGGAATGGAAAAGTTCATCCCCATCACAATCTTATCAAGATGCAGTGTTTTCCCAAATTCTTCTTCGTATATACATAAAGAATATCAGAAAAATTAACTGGCTACCTCTTTTGAGTGTTTTCATAAAGCTACAAGTTATACACAGCATGATGATCATTTCTACTTTCAAAAGTGTTCTGTTCACCAGCCTCTTAAATACAATTGTAATTGACTGCCTTGGTAACTAATTTGAGAAAGCTATTACATTACTTTCTGACTTCTGGTTTTCTTTTACACATATGGATTTACTTGGAATCTAATTTGTACAGAGTATCACTTGATCATTGGATTTTGTAGTGGCTCATGTCATTGTTTATCATATGTTATGTATATAATGTTGAATTCACATAATATAAATAAGCCATAATTAGAATTGTAAGTATATTAACTTCTCATTTGTTAAACGATCATCCATATGAAGGCTGAAAACCACACCAAAACCTCCAAAGTAACGTTAATGATAATATATTGTATCTATGCATGTTTTATTTACCCAATCCACTAACACATTACTGAGAGATTTTACACTGAGGTGTTCTTTGTGTTCATATGTGTGGCCTCTATTTCCACCTGTAATTTAATTAATTCTCTTCAGTCATAAAGATATTTTGGTGATAATATACACTACTCTCCTCACTTTCTCATTCAGGTTTACCCTTTACCTTGGTCTCATGATAGAATTTCTCAACAACATTCCTAGGGAAATTATCATATTATCAATAACCTCCTGACTTTCTACTGTTATCTACTTTGAGACTAATGTAACCTCCAATGCTACTTAGGTCCACACATCTTGAGATTTATTAGAGGGTGTTTTCCTTTGGTGCCTCTATTCCTTCTCTCCTTTCCCTTAAATGCCAGAATTTTCCTGGGTTTTGGTCCTCCTTATTCATTTCCTCCTGAGTCTTATGTTACCTTGGTGACACTCAGAAAGGATTTCTGCCCATCACTGATGCCTAATGATTGCATAAATGATCAGAGTAATTAAACGTTGTAGTCTTTGACAAAAAGTATTTTTTAAAGTTTGACCCACTTCACTCGTGTGTAGACAAGTTTTGCAATGGTTTAAGCTGTTAAATTGACTCTCATTTTTAAAAATTATTTATCCCCTGACATGCAACAACAGAAGACACTTTGAGATAGGTGAGGTAAGGAGGTAGCAAGTCCAACTCGACTTTGAATTTCAAAACCACTCTCCTTTGCTGCCCTGAGAGATGCAGATTTTGTTACTGTTGGTAGTACTTTACATAAACAGTACATTTTTACATAAGTCTCCTTTCTTATCATTCTTTGACACTATACTGATCCTACAGTGATAATAAACTGATTCATAGGGCCCCTTTACCTTAGTCAATCCCTTCATCCTAAACTTCCCTCTCAAAGATGCTTCACTTTTACTAATAATAGTTAACAAACTTTGGGCCTATGCTTTTTCCATGTTCCATTCTTTTGATTTCCCAATAGGCTGTACTATAATGTCCTTAGCCTCAAGTAATTCATCAGACTCGAGATTCCCTCAAAATTAATAAAAATAAGACCATTAACTCAGGGGAAATAATAGGATGAATAAAGGATGAGAATTTTAAAATGAAAAGACAAAGAAAGATTTGAAGAAAGTTTGGTAGTAGTGAATTTAATTGAAAATACAGTACTAAAAATGTAGTATTAAGGTTGGAGAAATAATGTATAAATGTCTGTTCATTAAAATAGAAATGACACAACTAAAACACACAAAGAGAAAGGAAAAAGGAATCAAGAGTAACCAGATGCATTAATGTGTATGTGAAAGTAAAAAGTAAATATTTCAAGCTGATAAAAAATTATTTAGGCCCTCCCTGGTGGCGCAGTGGGTTAAAGCACTGCCCAAAGAAGCTTAAGCCACTTCCGCATGAGTTCGATTCCCGCCTGCCCCGGAGGTGACCACATGGCGAGGCAGACCTCTCCTGACCCGCCCGCTGCTCCCCTCAGCAGTGTACTTCGTCGATCTGCCTGTTCTGCTCCCCACTCTGTCTCTGGCGAATCCTCTCACCCTCCGCATTTCTGGCCTGTACCCCAGTTCTGTATGAATAAATAAATAAATCTTTAAAAAAATATTATTTAAAGCTGACATAAGAGAAAAAAGGGGTTAGTGATCACCCAAAGGAGTAAGAATACAGGTAACTTTTATGAACCACAACATAAAAATGTACACAGACATAACACAAAATAGTATAGCAGAACTATAAGATCACTTTCATATTAAGCCTATTAGTCAAAGTATATTATAAATATTTTCTCCAGGTTTGTGATCTATTATTTAATTTTATTTGATTGTTTGCCATACAATCATTTTTTTGTAATTATTTTATCTACGGTTTGCTTTATACCTTCTGGATTTTGTGTCTTTTAGAAAGACCTCTTTCAGTCTGTGATTATATATATTTTTAAATTCTCCCATATTTTTCTCTAACAGCACTATTATTTCATCTTTGATCCATTCATTTTTATAGAAGTGGTAAATAGACAATTTTTTTTCAAATAGGTTCATTTTCCTAAAATCACTGAATTAAAAATTTAATATTTTCTTTCCAATGACATGGTATTGTTTAACAAACTCTTTTATGTTTGGGGAAATACTTAACAGATCTCTATCTGTACAACAACTAATCTCACTTGAAATCTATACAACTGCAACACACTAATTACTATAATATACTATCTGCTAAGGCAAGTTTTGCCATGAAATATTATTCAAACTTTTATTTATATTTATTTATTTTCTTACTTTTAACTGAGGTAATATTGGGATACCCTCTCATCATTTTCTTCACTATTCTTGGATATTTTTCCATGTAAACTTTAGAATTACATTGACTGGTTCCAATGGGGCATCTATACTACCAAATAAGTGACTTAATACACTATATTTGTTAAAAAAAAATAACACAAACAATTTACATGCTATATTAATGTGAATCCAGTTGGGACCCTGCAACCCAAGTTCCCATGAAGACTTTCAAATGTTCCTCTGTTCACAGGGGTAGTTTCCTAGAAAAGTTTCCAAGTCAGGCTTTAGAGTCAGAGATTTTGGTTTGTAACCTGCTTCAACTGATTGCCATTTTGCATCTTGAGCCCATTAAGCTGGCTGAATGTTCGTTTCCTCATTTGGAAACTGAGGATAAAAAGGTGTGCCTTATAAAGTTTCCTGAACTTGGATTAGATAATTTGTATTTCTAATATCTTTAACATATACCTGAATCTGAGTGGCAACTCTCTGTAAAGTAGCTCCCAACAGACGTTGACAACATCTTTATGAAATCCTCCAATTTAGATTTTTTTCTCTTAACTTCAGAAATGCCATGGCATGACTCCATTTATTTGTCTGATATATTTATTTCTATTTATGAAAGGTGCCCAACTATCACCTCCCTTGGAAATGAATAGTTCTTCCTCACTCCTCCATGCTTAGCACTTCCTCTGTTCTCCTTTACGACTCTGTCCAACACCTATAAATTACAGTGTACACATTTATTTGTGCACCCCAAGGAAACTGAATTTCTCCAGACCAAGTCACTTATCACTGGTTCTACTGTTTCAATCCTAGTGTATCAATTCCCTTATAATTCATACTCGAAAGCAGTTATTGAGCAGATTTTTTTTTAATGATTAGGAACATAACACCTATTTGTATTTATTCTTTTCTATTCTTTGGTCTTTATTTTACAAAAACAAAGAGGAAAAAATGGACACTGCATCTGTCCCTAAAAGCAGTTTTTGTCATCACATTGGAAAACTGCAGTGAGTGAACTGAGACGGTTCAACTCGCCAGCAGGAAGTACAAGCACCGGAACAGGAAGTATAGGCTTCCGAGCAGCACATGGTGCACCGCTATCTCCCCTCCCCTCACCGCAAGGGACAGGCTGAGGTTGCACACGTAGGTCCACACAAGGGCCAATGACCTTAGCCCCCTGCGTCAACTTCCGGCCAAGTAATGGCAGCTACGTGAGGCGAGAGCAAGGTGCAGCTCAGACACTGGAGCCAGTGCGACTTCTGATAGAGGTATGTTGTCAGATATCTCTCAAACTTTTCATGGTGCTTTGTTGACGGAGGTTTTCTTGGAGTGGTTTTCTGTGCTGGTGACTTCACTGCAGCGTCGTAGCCTTTTTCAGAATTACACATTGATATTAGAAATAATTTTCACACTGCTTTATAGACACACGTACATTTTCTTTTTGTTTAGGGGCCCTAATTTATGACACAATGCAACAGTCTTTAGAACAAGCTTTGGATCGTGCAGAGTCTGTCATAGAAAGTGCCCAACAAAGTCCTCCTAAAAGGAAATGTTCACCTACTGGGGAACAATCTCTCCATGAAAAACTGTACAACATCTATGTTGAAGAATGTGAAAAAGAGCCTGAAGTGACAGAGGAGTTAAGGAGCAATGTGAACCTGTTAGAGAAGCTCGTGGCCCGAGAGTCCTTGCCATGTTTAGTGGTCAATCTATACCCAGGAAAGGAGGGCTATTCTCTGATGCTCAAGGGAAATAATGAATCCTATTCAGAGTCCATCCGATTGCCCTATGAAGAAAGGGAATTTCTGGAGTACTTGGATGCGGAACAATTACCCCCCGTTTTGGTGGATCTCCTGGAAAAGTCTGAGATTAATATTTTTCATCGTGGGTGTGTCATCGCGGAAGTGCGGGACTATCGGCAGTCGAATGCTGCGGATCTCCCCAGCTACCAGAGCAGGCACCTTCTCTTACGGCCAAGCATGCAGACCCTCGCTGCGGACATGCACGCAATAGCCGGCGATGACCCGAGCTGGAGCCAGGACGACAAGCTGCTGCTGGAGAGCGAGCTGCTCTTAGCTACGGCCGAACCCCTGTGCCTTGACCCTTCTGTAACAGTAGCCTGCACGGAAAACAGACTGCTCTACAACAAACAAAAGATGAACACCCACCCGATGAAGCAAAACTTCAGGAGGTATTCAGTGCCTTCTCTGAACAGGGAGCAGGAGTTTCCTCATTATCTACATACTCCTGAGCTAAGAGGATTAACTTCTTGTAAAACAGAGCAAGAAAGTATAACAGGTGAACAGTGTGACCTCAGATTTCCTATTGCAGGAAGGTGCATAGATACATGGAAACAGAGACCCTGTGACTTGGCCATACCATCTGAAGTGGATGTGGAAAAGTATGCCAAAGGAAACAAGCCTGTTGTAGGTGAGGATTCAGAACCAACAATTTGGCCAACCCAGGAGGTAGACGATGCTTATTTATTTGGAAGTGAAGTTGGTGATCAGTACCAGAAAACAAAACTGCCCTTCATGCAGTCACTTAATGATCCACTTTTCTCTGGAAAAATAAGGTCACATAAAAATGTCAAATACAAGAAACAAATGTCTCCCTCACAATGGTCTACATATGACCAATCAGATAGTTTCATACCTGGGTCAAAGACTGATGCTGGGATTATAGTTAGTCAGTCTGAGGAACTGATCCAGGAGAAAGCCATCTATTCAGTCAGCCTGTCATATAGCGACAGTGAGTCACCTAGTCTTAGTCAACTTTCTCCAGAGAAAGAAACAGAACAGTTTGAGAGTATGTTAATTCAGTCTTCAGTACTGGAGGAGGAAGAACAGCCTGAGAGTATGTTAGTTCAGCCTTCAGTGCTGGGGGAGGGACCTGAGAGCATGTTAGTTCAGTCTTCAGTGCTGGGGGATGGAGAACTGCCTGAGAGTATGCTAGTACTGGAGGAGGGAGTCAAACACCGACCTCTATTCACCACACTTTCCTCAAGCTCAGAAAATAGTTCCCCAGGGAACAATTTTATTCCACAACAGGCAAGCTGCTTTCTTAGATCTCCATCACCTGTTCCTGCTTCGAAGTCACCAAGTCTTTCTCAGAAATTCTCTGTGGAAGTGGGTCATGTTGGCATCATTCCTGTAGACAATCTGTCTGCTGTCAACTCATCAGAAAGAACCCCAGCACCATTCACTGCTATCTTCTCACAGAGAATTCCAGCACAGTCTACTATCAGCTCATCAGAGAGCTATCCAGGTCTTTCCACTCAAGGCTCATCACAGAGAATCCCAGGCCTGTCTTCTGTCAGCTTATCACAGAGAATCCCGACACTGTACAGTGACAGCTCCTCACAGAGAATCCCAACACTCTCTAACTTTAGCTCCTCACAGAGAATCCCGACACTGTCCACTGTCAGCTCCTCACAAAGAATCCCGACACTGTCCACTTTCAGCTCCTCACAGAGAATCCCAACACTGTCCAGTGTCAGTTCATCACGGAGAACAACTGGCCAGTCCATTCTTAGCTCCTCACAGAGAATTCCAACACTGTCCACTGTTAGCTTATCACAGAGAACAAATGGCCAGTCCACTGTCAGCTCATCACAAAGAATTCCAACACTGTCCACCATCAGCTGCTCACAGAGAATCCCGGCACTGTCCACCACCAGCTCCTCACAGAGAATCCCGGCACTGTCCACCATCAGCTCCTCACAGAGAATCCCGGCACTGTCCACCATCAGCTCCTCACAGAGAATCCCGGCACTGTCCACTGTCAGCTCCTCACAGAGAATCCCGACACTTTCCACTGTCAGCTCCTCACAGAGAATCCCGACACTGTCCACCATCAGCTCACCATGGAGAACAACTGACCAGTCCACTGTCAGCTCACCTCAAAGAATTCCAACACTTTCCACTGTCAGCTCCTCACAGAGATTCCTGACATTGTCCACTGTTAGCTCCTCACAGAGAATCCCGACACTGTCCACTGCTGGCTCATCACGGAGGAAAACTGGCCAGACCAGTGCCAGCTCCTCACAGAGAATCCCA